TGGTAGTCCGAGACCCACCATTTGAGCTCCAAATGTCCCCTTGTGAAGTAAGTTCTTTAATGTCAAAATAACGACTCGGACAACCTAGTAGAAATATCACAAACAAATTAGTAAACATTGATGTTAGAAGTTGAACATGGTAAACTAGTCAACATAGTGTACGTCGCTAATCTACTCGAAGATATGAAAGCATAAACAGAGGGTGTAACATTGCAAAGAATGTACAGGGCAGAATGAATACAAGTCAGTTATAGAAAACTAAAATATAAAGAACAGGGCGACGTGTAGCTTAATTAGATTGACACATGTACCAAACGATGGCTTCACCTTCTCTTTTGTGGAACTCTTGACGACATCAATAAGTCTTGGAAGGGTTCTGGAAGTGGCCAAGAATTCAATAGCCGGCTCATAATATGATAAAAGCCAAACACAAAAACATGTTTTATACAGAATCTGTCAGAAAAAGAACAATTAGTTTCAATGTTAAAAGCTTAATAATGGCAGATTTCAAATTAAATGGAGTAATTGAACACTGGAGACAGCTTAAAAAATGCGAACCCAGCGTTACATGATAAATATGATAAGAAATATGAAGATGAGTGCCATTGTCGAGAAGTGAACGACGACGATTACCTGAATAGATTGTTGAGTCGACGCAGGAGAAATCAAAGGGATGAGCAGCTTCACTCCATCTGCTTGGACAAAGGAGGATTTGACTTTTGGTTCCTTCAGCAGAGTTGCAAGGCAATTGACAGAAGTCTGTACAGCACGACTGGGATGTGAAGGATTCTTCAGCTATACAACATTTTAAGACCACTGTGTCATCATCAATGAAACTAGAGCGGATATGGATGACCAGCAGCTGGTCTTATTCATTACGTTTCAAAGTTCGAACGAAAGAAGCACGTACAATATGTTGGTTTATATTTATGCTTACATAACATATTTCTTTTATGGATTTTGCTGACTAAATCTCGCGTTCATACCAATTAATCACAAGTGTTAACACGGCAAATTTTTTTGAGATCTTCCAAGGTAAAAACCACAAAACAATATCGACCGAAATCATTTCCAGAATAAGTTGAGATGACCATACTTGCAATACATCAAAATATTTGTTACGGCCCAAGCCCACTGCTAGCAGATATTGTCCTCTTTGGATTTGCCCTTTCGAGCTTCCCCTCAAGGTTTTTAAAACGCGTCTGCTAGGGAGAGGTTTCCACACCCTTATAAAGAGTGTTTCGTTCTCCTCCCCAACCGAGGTGGGATCTCACAAATATATTAAGAAGTTTTCTGATTTTGTTGCATCCGGATGCCTTATGGTTGGTTTTTAAAGTTTGTTTTTTTGTTTGTTGGTGATAGTATCTTAGTTTTCTTTGAAAATTTTGAAGTAGCAATGTAACGACCCAGATCCACCGCTAGCAGATATTGTCCTCTTTGGGCTTTCCCTTTCGGGCTTCCTCTCAAGGCTTTAAAACGCGTCTGCTAGGGGAATGTTTCCACACCCTTATAAATGGTGTTTTGTTCTCCTCCCCAACCAATGTGGGACATCACAATGGTCACCACACGGAACTTAGGAAGAAATACTTGTAGGAATCGCCTTGGTATGCATGCATGCTAGATTAGTTTCCTTAGTTGATTAGACTTTTCTATGTTATTAGTTTAAGTTGCAAAGTACATGATCTATGACAAGTTAAACATGTTTTATGCTTCCGCTTTGTGTGCAATTGTTTATGCATGCTAAGAGGAGGATGGGAGAATTGTGAACTCTGCGTTCCGGGTGTTGATGGATGTTATCACCCCGTTGAGCATAATTTCCTATCTTTGCATAAACTGTATAATGTATGTGATTCTTGATACTTGCTTCTTTTTGGAAATGTTTAGGAGACGATGTAATGTTTAGGAACGTTTTAGGAATAAGCCTAGGGATCCAAGATTAGAGTGGCCAGCCACTGAGCCTAGATCGACCCCTCCCCTAGGAGTTTAGCAGATTACCACGGTAAACATAGTGCCTTAGGGATGTTCATAGGCTGCTAGTTGTTTGAACGGTGTCTATAGTTTCGTGAGAGGACCAGAGGTCCTGATCAGTTATTACTGCTCCTAGCCGTTTCGCATGGCAAATGTGCCCCACGTAGTATAGTCCATTGGCTGCATGGGAATGGGTTGGGTTGTGGGGGACTATTATGGGCTTAGGAGGTATTCACCACACCCCTAGGCAAGATACCATGTGGTCTCAATTAGCCAGGTAGAGGTAGTGCCTCGTAGAGAGACATCGGTCAGTCCAACTTAGCATAAGGAACTCCTAGGTACCAAACGAGAGGACGGAGAACAATAGAAGTCCCAAGGGGAAACCCTAAGGGGCTAAGATTAGAACTAGACGTCCTAAAGCCAACGAGAAACCCGTGTTGACTGTTAAGCTTAGGATACGATGAGAGCCTACAAGTAGGTGGCCTACTGGGTATAATTTTATACTCATTCTTGCTATCTCTTTTTTTTTTTTTTTTTCAGGTACGTGAGGTGTTGGGTTGAGGTAGGGCGTGATCAGAGGGGCGAATTGTCACGGAGGAATGCATGTCCCGGGGCGTCAATCTAGTATTTTCTTTTGCATTTAGATTTTTCACATTTTTGTTTTTTGGAACTTTCATTTGTTGAATCTTGGTATTGAAATTTCCGGTTTTAGAAATAAATGATTTCGCCTTTACACCTTCTCAACTTTTTCTTTGCATACACATTATCTTTTGAGTCACGGCTTAGAGTAAAATATCGGGTCGTGACAAGCAATCAGTTCGAAAAGAAAAATTGTTTTTCATATCAAAAAGAAAAAGTCTCAGTCTTTCCTTATGTTACAGGCTCTCGACATCCAAGGAATGGTAAAGGTATTGAACAAAAGCAGCATACCTGTGCACAAAGCCATTTCACCAGTCCATCCAAAACATCATCAATGGTAGTAATTTTCCTCTTGGAGTTCGAGGCATCACCATTTGCATAACTGCCATCATGTGTTTTTTTTCTAGCACTAATGTTATAAGAAAGAAATTAAATCATGCCATAAGGTTTATATAAATCATACATACACGCATATACCCGCCTGCACGCACAACAGTTTCCTAAATAATATATGGTGGAAAATATTTCCAAAAGTGTACCTCACTATCAGAGCAAGTATATTACAGCTCTTCTCCTGTATGAACCAATTGCCCTTCCAAAGCAATCTGAAATACACAAGAAATATAAATTATGTGAAGCGAAACTCCCAAAACCAAAAAATGAAAGCAGAAATCGGAGACTTTTTTTCTGGGGAAGGTTATAAAGATTCGGAAAAAAGTGTACGAAAATTTTGCGTAACTGGATGTAAATTATGTTACACATGTAGGTTGTAAAGCTTGGTTGAAGTTCAACCATTTGGGGCCATGAAGTTATGTTACGCTATACAGTGGAACAATGAAACGAAACTTGGTCGAGAAACAATGTAGCTTGTAAGCAAAGAATGTAATAACACGGCAAAAAAAGCACAAAACAAATGATCTGTCGAAATTACGGAGTCCAACATTCGTGCAATGAAATGTACGGTTAACATAAAATATTGTGCATAAAGCCATGCTTGAACCTCATACATACCTTAGGAAAGGTTCATAAGTATCTTCACTAGCAAGAGAATCATCATGGAACAATCTTGCTCTTTTTGGGTTTGCTGCCAAAGCATTTACCATTTATCAGATAATCATTAAATATTAAAACAGTTTTAGAAGATTTCTTGGTACTAATTTTGTTATGAATTTGATGATTTAATAGAAAGTATAATTTTGAATCATTTAAACTTCTTCTGATGATTATCCGAAACATAATCATAAAGTACTGTTGATATAAAAGTCATTGCGTTACCTGTAAGCATTTCGTCGATTAATGCTAAAACATATTCCACTGTTTCTTCCTTAAATATATCTCGTAAAATGCTAACAAATACACGAACATAAGCTGGACCATCCTGCAAAATCCAATGGCACTTAGTATTACGAGATACTGTAAAGAAAATCATTCCTAATTTTCCAAACAAAATTTCAATCACAAAAAACGAATGATAACTTGATGAATCATGTTATGAAAATAGATCAGGCATGTATGAGGGAAAATTACATCATCCAACAACTGTGCCCTGTAACTCTCTGGTCTGTTATCGTAACGCCTTAACAGCTGAAGGCTTGTTCCATTGATAAGTTTAGTAGTCATGTATGTCTCCCATGGAATGTCCCTTGTGAGAACCTTTCACAATTAGAGAAAAAAATGTTAATGATGTAGTTGTTGAACAAAATCATCTGAGGTGAAATGATAAAATCCAATTACTATGATAATTCGACCTCATAAATCATATTCGGAAAGAACTTCTATTCTTCTAGAACAATAATAATTATACAATCATTCAAAACCGAACAAAAGACTTGCGCCTCAAATTTCCAACATAAAATTGGAGAAGATGAAGCCAATGGGTTCAAAGGTTGTTAAAGATCAAGGGAATTTGAATCATCCAATAACAGTAATTTTTTCTAATAAGAAATAATTTCATTAATTGAATGAAATTACACAAGGGAGATCCAAGTCAAGGAAACGAAACATCCATACTACTTTCTTTTCCTTCATGAGAGGATAGCCCACCAAAGTGTAAGAGAGGATGGTGGTGGGATCCCTCGGAAGAGTCGTTGTCCAGCCAAAAGGGGATAGATCCAATAATTGTAACATCATAAGGCCATTTCATAATCGTGTTATAAGAGACGAAACTTTCACAATCAATGTGAATAACACTATTCGATGTCCATCAGAGAAGCAGATGTGGCATTAAATCAATCAAGCTGACAGAAACATTTCAGAAGAAAACATAGAAATGCTGTTCGTAGAATGGAATGACATACTACCTTCGAGTCGAGCGTGTTCATAGCAGATGACTAGTAATCAACACCTAGAAGTATCAGACAAAAGGAAAGGAATATTGAACCTATGAACTCGAGTTTTTTTTTTTTTTTTTTTTTTGCTGCTGCTAGAATCACTGCTCAAATCACTACTCAAAGGACAGCCTAGAAGGACTTTTAAGATCTTCCCACTACTAGCAAAACCTTTTTTGAATCCCTCCCTCACCCCCGACCCTGACCCCAAGAATCACCTTAAAAAGAAAACCTTCTTGATGAATCAGGTTTATTTCTTTTCCCTATCTCGGGATCCAAAAAGACAGCAAACAAAAAGGGGCGTCAAATGAGAAAACTAGAAAAATTAGCATCAAGTATCAGTTACAAGAAAAATCCTATTTAGAAAGGCTTCTATAAGGGCTCCTCATGACCTCTGTGACAAATATAAGCTGGAACATCAGAGACCTCAGAGTATTCAAGAACAGGAATGTATGGAAACAACGGCGCTTTTTGCCAGGAAATTTTGTGGTTTTTTCTAGTATTTCTTTCTTTTTGACGATGAAACCGGTGTTTATCAAAAGAACAATCATAACGATGATTCACAGGAGAAAATCCCAGATTCTTTATGTAACTTTATCCTAATACCCGCTCCAGATCATGTATTGGATCACCCAATTGAAGTGACTAGTAGAATTCAGACTTGAAAATATTAAACAAAGGAAACTCTCAGAACAAACAACTCGTTTTTCCTCATTTCAATTTCTTGATCGAGTTCAATTTTCTAATGAATGCAATTAATATATTCAGATGAACAGCAATCTTCGATCCTATAAGAAATTTGCGATGATTTACAGCCCATAACTAATGAGTAATGACAAATTGTTGGATCATTGACCAAACTACTCAAAAACATAACATTCAATCACCATGGACGTAGTTACACTCGCGCCACCCAACTAACAAACTGTATAAAAGAATCGACCATCAATTACACCTTGCCCCACCGAAGAAATCAAATCATCTAGAGTGCTACTAATTACCATCTAAACCCACTTCAGAATCAAATCTAAGAAGGCAGAAAGAAAACAATAAGGAGATCCGATCACCAACCTGCTCAGTGCTAAGCTCAGCCTGGTCAATTGCCATCGCAACTTCCGCTTCCAATTACACTGCCGGCAACGCTGCAGATCAAGCAATCAGATCAAACCCCAAAAATTGAACTCAAATTTGCTTGACAAACGAGAGGAAAACTTCAGGTATTGTTTCAAAACACATCAAAATCTCCAACTCCCAGCGACTCCGAAGATGTAAAATCGAAATTGCTTCAACCAAAAAATCTCTCCAAAATTAAGGGTAGATAGAAAATACTGATAACTTTCCATCGAATGGGTTAAAAGAAAGAGAGAAAAAAACCTTATCCCAATTCAGTAAGGAAAAAAAATAGCCGCGAAATCAAAAGCTTACAATTTGCGAAGAGGGTGACTCGAATTAGCTTGTCCAGTTCGTTTTTTTCCCTTTTAACTTCCTTTTTTCTTGAAGCACGGGAGTGAAAGACAGACCCGTCCAGCCAAAAATGATATATAATATATATGTATGTATATATATGTATGTATGTATGTATATGTATGTATGTATATGTATATATGTATCAATCTCAAACTGCCCATTTTCAATCTATATTTCTCATCAATTTTCAAATTATTTTTAGAAATATTTTATTTAAAAACTTTATATTTATTTGTCTAAATAAAATTGTGCTCGTAGTACTGCATTGAATTAAGTGTACACAAAACGAAGGTATATACAACTACCGTGTATCAATTTCAAATATAAAATTATACTATTTGATCGTTTTAACTCAATTTCGCAATTGCAGATGTTATTTTAGTTCAACAATATATGGAATATATTTAACTCAATTTCGCAATTGCAGATGTTATTTTAGTTCAACAATATATGGAATATATAGAATAAGAGAATTCAAATATTTGGCGTCTAAATTGACATAATTACATCCAGTAAGAAACTACGTAATTATTAGAAATATTTGAAAAATGCTTCATTTTTTTTTTCTACAATTCTATTTACATAGCCTAATGTTGTAAACAATCAATTGAATAATGTATAAAATAAAATGAATAAAAAGTTCATATTAGCATGATACTTAAGAAATTTTCCCAAAGACGGGGAGGTGAGTGTGGAAAGTTAGGGGTAGTGTTGTTTAGACGCAGTGTGGCATCTTTTGATGGCAAAGTAAGAGAATAGAATTCCTGCTAAAAGATAAAAGGAAGCATATAAAATATGTAATTTGTTCATGAGGGTGGGTCGTTCACTTTCACGGAACTGAACTCAATAATTTCAAACGTGTCTTGATCCTACCACAAAGACTTCAAAGTAGATGACAAGCCAATTATTTAAGTAGCTTTGATCAAACTAGCTTGTAAAACGATTCAATCCGAGGTTTCAAAACAATTTTCTTTTACTCTTGATCAAAGTAATCAATTCCTAAATTTTCACTTAGATTAACTACTTATCGTTTTGGAGTTTTGGGATATTTTAGATCTAAAAGTCTTGTTCATTAGCAAGATTGTTAGATCAAAATTTCCAAGAGTATCATATCACAACTTCAACCAATCAATTTGAACCAAACTATAGATAAAACACTAATTACCATCTTAAACATCAATTATGGCAATTACAACATAACTCTACAGAAAAGACACTAATTATCATCCTAAACGTCAATAGTTCACTATGATCACCACGATGTATAAACAGACCTTCACCCACACAAATAATCTGGTTTTGGGAGGGGAAGCCCAGATCCAATGAAACTAGTAAATTATTCAATCCATAAAATTACAAAAGAAATAATTCAGGTTCCAGATCCTTGTGCAGAGGAAATAAAAGCAAACATATGCATTGAATGTATGATCCAGGAAAGGTCTAAAAAATTATGAACATACCAAATCTGAGTACAACAAACTCAAGATGAACCATACATAATTATGGAATAATCTTATTTGATGCAATTTCAACTTATTGACAAATGTATGATGACAACAATTTTTTAAATAGAAAAGGTCAAGGAACAAAAAGGATGGGAATCATAGTAAAGTGCCATTCCTACAAAACATGCCTAAGACGCACTATCAAAGAATTAGAATCAAGTATAGTATATCATATGACATCAGAAAAAGCTACACCCATTTAGCAGTTCCAGTTAGTTAGAATCATGGAACCTTCTTCTAAGCAGCTACTGCAAATTTTTCTTGCTTCTTATCAGCTGTTTTTGAAGGCTTTCCAATGTTTTCTGGTTTGTCAATACCTTGGATATCGATGATCCTCAACTTTGTTAATTCCTAAGATATAAAATGTTGCCAGAAAGGATCATCAGAAAACTAGGATAATAAACTTTTTACTTCTTTCTGGAAAGTCTGGATAGGAATAGGATATACCTGGCGGTGTCCTTTGGTTCGGCGGTAATTCTTCCTCCTTTTTTTCTTGAAGATGATTATTTTTGCATCTAAGGCCTTCAGAAAAGGAGGAAAAAGCATTCAGATCTTACGAATTGGAACACAAATTTGAGAATTGGACTTTCAAGAAATATGTCGTTGGGACTTTGAAACAAATAAAGAGAGCCAGGAAAGAAAAATTTACACTCAGCAGACCAACCAGAGTCGCAGAGCAACACAGTTAATATGATATGATCATAGAAAATAAAGTACTGCAACATATTACACTTATTGCCAACTCGGCTAATTCATATACGAAAGCCCTCTGTCATTCACAAATTTTTTAAGCAATAATTGCTCGAAGAAATTGCCTTTTGAATTCTTCTGAACATTGTAAAGTCTCCAGATTTTATTATTTTCTTCTAACCTGATGGATATAATAAAACTAGAATGTAAATCTTTCCCCCTGACTAACAAATTGGATCTTCCTATTTTATCAATTGCGTTGTCTAAATCCATTTAATGTATAAGTTCCCAAATGCGGCTAAGACTAGAAGTATATTTAATAAAGCGCATAAAGAACTAGAGAACTAGTCCTTAAAAAATGCATTGCAATGGTCCACGAGAATCACTAGAGAACAATGCACATCAGAAAGAACACAACAGTAAAGTTGTTTATAATATAATGCATTAACAACAAAAAGCAAATAGTTTTGCCGTCACGCTTACATGTTCCTCAACAACTGCTTGAACAACTGCACTTGGGATTGTTGGCCTGCCTACAATCGTTTGGCTACTTGAGCCAAGCATGAGGACCCTATTCAATATCAACTGCAAAAGATAAATCCATTTATTAAAAAAGAAAATTCATTAAAGCTTGCTCAAGATGAAGTACAGAAAAGGTTAAAAAATTCAACACATAATCAGAATCCTAAACTGGGCAAGATATAACAACAAACATGAGAAAATCTACAAAAGCGCATTCAAGTCTGACAAGGAAAATGGGGCAATAGAAATTGCAGAAAAGATCCTCTTGTGCTCACAAGTGAGTAACAATAACTTAAATAAAAGCTACCAAAAGATAAATTTCATATTTTCCTCGTTCTTTAATTTGCTTGAAGCGATACTTCTCATGAAACAAAGTACATGACTACTTAATTTAGCCTCGTCTATGACAACCTGAAGGGTGCAACTTTTCATGTATGTAAAACAGTTGCTTTTTAGAAGCCTTTCTAAGCTTTCACACACTGTCCCAAAAAAGGGCTCTTCTATACTAATTCACCCAAAAACTGCTCTGCAGCCTATCAAATTAATGTTTAAGTCGAATCTTTGTAACCATCAAACATCATAGAAGTACCACAAACTTTAGCTTAGTTAATTACAACCTGGAAACAATAGCAGAATATAAAAAATATGAGTACAGTCTTAAATCAAACAACATTTTAATTCTAGGTCCCAAAAATTGCTTCCGTGTTCAACGCCATTTAAAGAGGCAGTGTCAAAACAGATGGAGGGCTCATTCAAGCGGGAGACCATGTAGAACATGGACGAAGGCTAGGATGCAAGTTTTAAAAAAAAGAAGAAAAAAAGAAATTACGATAACTGAAACATCCACAATGGAAAATGGAATAGGAGTTACGAACCTTGTCATTCACATCGCAGAATTTTAATCTTTCGGTAAAAATACTGTCTCCATTGCTAACCTTGAATTGGTGTGAGCCAATCTACAGAAACAGCCAAAAGAAAAGAGTGCATAAATTCAAAAAACTCATGAAGCCATGCCACAAGTTTGTACCTGAACAACAGCAAAAACAGGCTCATAACCCTTGAAAACGCCATCAGATCGATCAAGTGGCCCAACTACTTTATATCCAATATCAGCCGCTTCTGCCTCCTTCTCCTCCTTTGTATACTCCTTCTGCATACCCCTACTCAACCCCGAAATACCATCATCCTCACTACTATCATATGCTTCTTCATCTTCATCTTCATCTTCATCTTCATCTTCTTCAGTATCATCATCGTCATTGCCATTACGACTATCAGATGAGAGATATTGGGAGTGTGGCCAGCACTTACACAAAGGATCAGTTTTAGTACAAAGATAGGTTGATGTAGAGGCACGTGTATGGTAATTCTGGTAGAGGAAGGAAGATGTGATTTTCAGCGAGTGGATATATGGCTTTCCAGAAAAAATGGCCGAGGCATGACGAGTTAGTACTTGTACACACCGTCTGTTTGCCATGGCGGTGGTCGTTATGGCCTTTGACTTATAGTTCACTACTCTACACAAGCTGCATCAATCTTCTAACCTTCTCAATCTGCAGACAGAAAATAAAAACATAACTAAACCAACGTTTCCTAGAAGTCTAACACTCTTATCCATGTTGAAAACATAGAAGTTTTTGCAATCCAGATTCAATTCAGTTTTTTGTTATAATATAAAAAATGATCGTCGGCTTGATCATATGGATAAGCGGGATCAATCCAAACATTATTTAGAAACTCAGGCAGTTTGATTCACTCTGGTTCGGGTTTATTGGTCAAGTTCATCAATCCTCAACTTTCCCGCTTTCTTCTTCTCCGCAATAGCAACATCGCTCTTCCTCTCTGCTCTAACATCATTCGCGCGGCGAGCGGCGACAGCAAGGCAACAAGGAGTAGAAATGCTTCAATGCGGCAAGGACATGCAAAATAATGAAATCAAACCCTAATTACCAAAGGGTGAGGCGGCTTAATACACACAAGGCGAGCTCGAAACATGGAGACAGAAAAGGAAGAATGTCAACTCGCACAACCCGCAACAAGGATAGAGGATCAATTCAAATCAACGAAACTCAGATTAGAGCAAAGAGAAATCTGATCTAACCCACCTCCAATCTCAAAACCACAGCAAAAGACGAGGAACAAGATTTACACATAATTTTCCAGAACCAAATGATCATTTTCAAAGTAAGACAGTGAGAGATAGAGATTTTTTGAAAATTCAAGAAACTTACAGAGGATAGTCGACGGTTCTTGCAGGACGGAGGAGGAAGCCCACAGGTGCAACATTATGGCCGTCGGTGGTGGAGACGATAGCTGGAGGTGAGGGTTTTGGGACCTGTGAGTGAGGGTTTTTGGATTCAACGACGGTCTTACTTTCAAAAATTCTTAAAATTATAAATTTACTGACCTTTTAATTGAGTTATTTTGTAGAGCTTTTTTTTTATTATTATTATTTTAAATTTTATAAATTTATTAAACATTTAAAATTCTAAAATTTATTAAATATAAAACTAAAAAAAAAAAATTAAATTTATAATTTAACCACGTCTAATAAATTTTTAATGATAAAAAATGTTGATAAATTGTTACCACCGTCCTAAAAGTTCTTTAAATCATAAATTTTAATTTTATGTATAAACTTTTAAATTTATTAGATACTAAATTAAAAATTAAAATATATTAAATATAAAATTTAAAAGTTACGTCTCGAGTTCTTGTTTAGTTTCTATTTAATTTTTGTGGAGATTGGAGTGGAAATTTCCAATTTAGATTTTTAAATTAAAAAAAAAACTAATAAAATTAAATATTGTATTATACTCATGTTAGGTTGTACTTGGCTCACAAGCTGGTGTTAGGAAAGGTTCAAGATGGTCTGGATCCATGGGCTATCCATTAATAACGATAAAGGCTTTAAGCCCATTTAAAAAGCCCAAATAGAGGCTTTGAGCCCAGTTTAAAAGCCCAACGTTTAAGCCCATATTGGGTTCATGTATATCAAATCATATATTTTTTGAATTATTAGTCAAATTTAAAAAAAATAATAATAATAATTATATTAAAATTAATCTTACATTTAAATAGATTATTATTTAATTATTTTATGTCAATTTGAACATGGTTCAGAATAAAAAAGAAATAATAATAAATAAAGTGAAGACAAAGAAACAATTTATTGATATATTATTAAATGTTGGGTTGAAATAATGTTCCCTTTCTTATGTTCCACAAAACCCCACCCCAACCCAAGGCTAATAAATTATTGAAAGGCACTTGTATTGTATTTACCATCTCAATAAATAAATAAATAAATAAAAATTAATTATTGGGTTCTAAATTAGTCAATAAATCTAAGTGGGGGCAGATGTGTAATTGTCACACCAAACTTTTCCTAGGCTGACGACTTAGCTTCACGTGGACATAGCACCTGGGAAGATCCATTACGCAAATTATTTAATGCTCTTGTCTTCGTCCTCCCCTCCACATCATTACACATATTATTAATTTTTTTTAAAAAAAATACTTACCATTTTATTCTCGGTCTATTCTAAAAAAAATAAAATTTATAAACCAGACAATATTTATTAGTAGTGAGCCTGAGTCATTATATATTATAACAGAGTGCGACTAGGGTGGTGTGTCGGCGAAGACACTCGGTCCTAAGGGGGTGGACTGTGAGATCCCACGTCGATTTGAGATGGCAACGAAACATTTCTTATAAAGACATGGAAACCTGTAACACTCTAATTTTCTTAATCTTTATAAATGATATCAGAGTCAGACACCGAGCAGTGTGTTAGCGAAGACATTGTGAGATACCACATCGATTGAGGAGGAGAATGAATCAGTGTTTATAAGGGTGTGTAAACCTTCAAAATCTTGATAGAATGTCTACAGATGACAATATATGCTGTTGGTGGGCTTGGGCTGTTACAAAATCTATCCCTAGTGAACGTGTTTTAGAACTGTGAAGTTAACGACAGTATATGACGGGTCAAATCAGACAATATCCGCTATTTTTTACAAATTTAAACTAAATTGTTTGTTGGAATAAAATAGGATAAAGGTAGAATCTTTCACATGAAGAACCAAAAATGAAATTCTTTGTGGAATCTTAGACCATTCTAGACTCAAAATGTTATTGGTGTAGACTACTAGAATCAGCATCTACCAAATAAATAAATAAATAAATAATATTAATAATACGAATCCCGAAATTTCCAAATTTGGAGGCAGGCCAATTAAAATTTATTTAAAAAATAAAAAAAGAAAAAAAGAAAAAGGGAGCATTTTCGCCCATACTTTTTTTTTTCCATGAGGCAAAAAAAAAAAAAAAAAAAAAAAGGAAAAAAGAGGGGGTGGGCCCACAGAACTAAGGCATATGGAACTCACGTGAGATGCACGTGCTACAGGACCGTTTGGTGGGGACAGAAATGGTTGTGGGCGCAGCGCATGGGAATAAAACCCACGTGAAGCTCTTTGGTCTGCTTCCTTGTCTCACCCTCCCTGCCCGCAGACAACCCCTCCGTTGGGCAATTTGTATCGTTCCTGGCAAACGACAACTGGACTAATTTTCTTTTGTCGGCTTCTGTCGAAAACTCTGCTCTAAATTTTATATATTTTTTTAAACCTATTTTAATTACTCCTAATTATTTTTTTTATTTTTTAAATAATCGTTTGTGACGGTGTCTTTTTTTTTTTTTTTTTTTTTTTTTTTTAATTAATCGTGAAATGAAACATAAATTTCAATGTAATATAAATTTGAAATTATTTGATAAAAATCGAGAAAAATAATTGATATAAAAATTTGAATAAATCCAAATGTTGTTGATACAAGAAAATAAACGTAAAAAATATTGCATGATAGTTTGGATTTTTTAAATTTTGAATAAAATTTTGAATTCTTAATTTAATTTCAAAATAATAATAAAAAAAAACTCTTAAACAATAAATTCAAAACTTTACTTGATTTTTAAACTATACGAAAATATAGATAATAAAATAAAAGGTGTAAATAGCATTTATAAATTTAATTCTTAAAAAAAAAAACTAAAAATCAATAAATATAAGCTATTCCAATATTTAAATCTTAAACAATAAATTCGAGATTCAACTTTTAAATTAAAAAAAAAATGGTATAATTAAATTGTTTTTTTTTCAATTATTATTATTTATAAAAGAAGGGTAAAATATAATAATTAGATTTGGAGCATATGATTAATGAAAAATTTCCAAAAATAGGATGCAGCTTGCAAATTTCAATTATAAATTTGTCTTTTGAATGTGACACACATCATGTTGTGGACAAATAAATTAAAACAATCAACTAGTTGGTTGAGCTGACCTATCACTTAGTCCAATCTTTTCATGTGTATTAAAAACTTTATATTAAGATGAAAATAATAAAAAACGCACACGTGTTAAAAAAATATTACATGGTTTCGAACATGCTCATATAGATATTTACTCGAGCGGAGCAGTTTGCCTTGACAGCTAATATAAGTATTAGAGTGAGTATCAGACTATTCAGAGGGGACTGCAGTGGGTAAGATAGTATCGGTTATGGTATTGATCAACAACATTGCCAAAGTTTATGAAGATATACCCGTATTTGAAAAAGTCGAGAGAACTCTTGTTTCTCCACCTCGTTGGGGTTTCAAAACAGATTCAACAAGATACGCATCTCTGCACATATAGTGTCGTTTTTATCCGAGTAGGTGGCTGAAACTTGTTTTTCTTGAACTAGTGGACGTGCAACTGTACCAATGCGATGAGCTTGAAGATTAGACGTTTAGGTAGCGATAATAAACATTATATCCTGGTAGCTACGTTAAAAAAACGAATATAAATAATATTATGATCGAGACACGTCGATATTTTAGGCCCATCTATTGATATGACACAATTAGCAACAATATTTAAACGAATCCAACCCCTTCAAATTCCTCTAACCCAACAAACCAAGTGATGGATTCCGCCGCAACCACCGCAATTCTGACCAACATGCTTCACAACGCCGCCGCCGCCGCCACCACCACCACCAATCTCCCAACGGAATTCCTCTGGCCACACGCCGACTTAGCCGCAAATGCCGACGACCCAGAAGAGCTTCAAGAGCCATTAATCGATTTATCCGGTTTCCGGCGAGGGGACGCGGCGGCGACAGTGGAAGCCGCCGCTCTCATCCGGCAAGCGTGTAGGAACCATGGGTTCTTCCAAGTGACGAACCATGGCATGGACCCAGATCTAATAAACGCCGCATACGAGCATGTGGAGACCATTTTCAATATGCCTTTAGTCAAGAAAATTAGTGTCCGAAAGAAGCCTGGAAGGGTGTCTGGATATTCAGGGGCCCATGCAGAGCGATTCTCCTCTAAATTGCCATGGAAAGAGACGTTTTCTTTTGAGTATTGTAGCGATGATTCTGAATGGCCTAATGTTCTTCATTACTTCAAGACCTTATTGGGGCGCGAGTTCGAGAAAACAGGGTGAGTCCTCTGTTTTTTTGTAATGACCGAGCTGTGCTCAAAATTAATAATGACTCGTGTTTATTTGTGAAGATGGGTGTACCAGAGATACTGCGAGGAGATGAAAAGAATTGGGCTAATGATAATGGAGCTTTTGGCTATAAGTTTGGGAGTTGAAAGACGGCATTATAGGGAGTTTTTTGAAGATGGGAGGTCAATAATGAGGTGTAATTATTACCCACCGTGTGAGAATGCAGGGCTGACGCTAGGGACTGGGCCGCACTGTGACCCGACGTCTCTAACAATTCTGCACCAAGACCAAGTTGGTGGCCTTGAGGTTTTTGCTAATAATAGATGGCTTTCTGTCAAGCCACGACCGGATGCTTTGGTTATTAATATTGGTGACACCTTCATGGTACCCACTCCACTCGTTGCTATTCTCCTCGTTTATTATCGTTGATTGAAGATATATGTCTTTAAAGATGTTTAATGAGCTGGGTCGGAACGGGAAAGTCTTCTTTGTTCTTGTTCTTATTCTCTCACCTTCTGTTTCATTTTTCATCTCTACGGAGCTGACTGATCTTTTGTTAAAGATTTATGTTTTTAGTGATGTCTATGACCTCGCCTATTAGAACGTTGAAGATGCATGTTTTTAGAGATGTCCACAGGGCAGGATAGAGATGGGAAAGTCTTCCGTGTCCCTATCTCCGTCTCCTATTTCATTTTCCCACTTTTAGAAATTCTCCCTTTAGTTGACGGGGAGAAATCTCTTCCTGTGTAATCGAAAATTCTCTACCCTGTTCAAGATGAGTCTTCCTAACGCTTCAATTTTAGAGGTGTCCATGGGTCAGGATAGGGATGAGAAAGACTGTCCCCGTCCCATCCTCGTCTCTTATTTCATTTCCCAACTTTGAAGAGTTATCT